CATCGAAAATTTTGGAGTTTCGAAAACCTCAGAAAATCGAAAACTTGGAAAAGTCACTTCTCCAAATCATTAAGGAAAAGAGAGACATGTCTCATTTTTTTCGTTTTGGAAAACGGTTTGGTAAATGCGTTTTTCTATTTTCATTTTTCCAGTTTTCTAGCAATTTTCTTTGGTAAACGTGTTTCCTGTTTTCTGTTTTCTAGTTTTCCATTTTTCTGGAAAACTGTAAAATATCTCTGTTAGTAAATAGGCCCTTACTGTTTGAAAAACATCAGAACATCGAAAACTTCTAAAAACTTTGATAAGCATGGAATCATTCAAAAATCCTATAATGTAAATCTTCGATGAACTGCGAAGAATGTCAAGCCTTGAAAAATTCTGAGTTTCAAGAAACTGCAAACTTTGAAACATTCAAAACATAAAAAATTTTAAAAATCTCGAAAACTTCAGAATGTCGAGATCCTAAATATCGAGATCCCAAATGTCGAAATCCCAATTTCGAAAACCCAAAAATATCGAGATCCTGCAAAGTGAAAATTTCGATTTTTGAAAATCTGAAAACTGTTCTAAATAGCCCTAAAGGTCGAGATTCTCCGGTATCAGTTTCAAGTCAAAATCGTTTCTGCAGCAGTGAAAAAACAAGAATTTCGAGATCTCAGTATAGAGATCTTCGAAACTGAAAAAATGCAGAAAACGAAAAGAAAGATATGCTTTAGAATCGATGTGAAATGGCGATTCCAACAGTATAATTTTTACAAAAGTTCGTTCACAAACAAGATTACAGGAGCAAATCTCTATATTAAAGAAAAATAGAAGAAAAGCAGAGCAGTTCTTCGTTAGATACGAAAATCACAGATAGATTCAACCTGTTTCACGCCTCGACTCTGATACCAATTGATATTCCCTTCGCTTTAACAAACAAACAATCTAAGCAGTGAAGAAGAAGTAGATAGAAAGATATCAAGATTAACAACACCTTTGGTATACCATGTAGAACGCCACTGCTCTCCCTCGAGAGAGTGCAGCGGAAACCCTAATCTCTCTATCTCGCCTCTGTGTCTCTGAGCCTCAAAACGTTAGGGTTCCCATAAGTTAGCCTCCTTCTATAGGAGAAGTTGGCTAACTTACGGGTTACAAAGAAGCTAACGGGCTGATACACATTTGTGACCCGTATTACACGTTTAATTAATAACTACACAAATACAAAGATATTTAATTGGATTGGACACCATAAAATATTCTCAAAAAGAGTACCCTTGTAATACACTTTCATAAACGATCCATCAATAATAAGAACGAGAACAAAATGCTTCCAACCTTGAATCCATGCATCCAACGACATGAAGAAAAACTTAAACCGATTATGCACACCAACATCTAACAAAATCAATGAACAAGGATGTTTCTTTTTAAGAACATAAGCAATGGAGGGTAACAATTGATACGACTGCTCATCTGAACCCATCAACTTTTCTTGAGCTTTCTTGTTTGCAAGCCAAGCTTTCTTGTACAATAATATATTTCGGTGCATAAGATTTTCTAGATGCATCTACATATCAATGTTTGATGAGTTCAACAATTATTTTTGCGGTAGCTTGGCGGTGGGGACCTTGTCGCTAATCAAGTGAGCATGTATGCACATAATCAAATCTCGAAATGGTACAACGGTAAATAGTCCTTAAAAAGACAGTAAGTAGACAATAAGTGAAAAATACTACAACATGAGATTTTAAATGTGCAGTTGAGTAACACAAACGAATAAATTACCTTCTTATTTGAAACATTTGACATCCACCCAACCTCACTGCACGTACAGCCCAATCACAATCCTCATCATCAACACAAACAACATGCAAGAATTTTCTAGTTGATGTCCTTGTCTTGTATTGGAAAAGATTTAAAATGGCATACATATTCAAATGATGGGTTAATGATCTCTTATCCTTGTAGATAGACTTTATAGCAATACGAGTATGATGAAAGTGACAGATTACTTGGATATCTTGAAAATCATGAAAATAATCTAAATCAAAGTGTTCATTAACAGCAAGATCTTCACCGCCTGAAGTTGTAGGTGAAGAAACTTCATTTCTAGAACCAGAAACGTGTGTAGGTAGTAATAAATTTGTATCATCAGAGTGAACTGAAATAGCAACATTTGTAGCATACATATCCAAAGACATATCTTCAGTTTGAGGGGAAGAAACATCAACTGTGTGATGATGCATGACATAAGTATCTTCAAGATGCTCAAATTCACCATTTGCAGACACATTTAATTTAAATCAAATGCAGGAAGTTGCGAAGAGAAGTGGGCATGAGTAGACACAGATAGCGGAAACAACTCAGCACACAAAGGATACTTGGCATAAACATGTTGTGATTTTTAAGAGCCAAGTAAAAGGACAAACTATAATCATCATTAACAACCACTGAAGGAGGACATTCTTCAACCAAATAACTAATCTTCAACTTTTCATTCACAGCAAATGCGTCAATGCATGAATACACCATAGTAATAAAACGAATATACAATGCCTCATCTTGAACTATGAGAATTGAGACCACACGTTCTTTTATTACAGAAAACATAGGATTCATCCCAACTACCATCCACCTTTAGCATAATCAACATTTTGTCTTGATCTGGGTAAAAACAGATAAATCAATTCAAATATCCTATTGAACTCATTACATAATATATTGATGTGAATATGTAATTGTGATCACTAAATAAATACATATATAATGTAGTCATGTATGAAAAGAAAAATGAAAAAAAAAACAAATAAAAGAAGTAGAAGGAAAAATATTAATAAAGTCAGATTTATAAGAAGAAAAGTGTAACACCCTCAAATTTCCCACCCAAAACATTGATATATTTAAAAGAAAATCTTTATTCAATCATAATAGAGTAGAAGAAATACAGCAGAAGTCTAAATAGGGAAATGAGTGTTACCGTCACATCCGGTCATCTCTTAACTGAATGCACATGCAAACCAAAATAAAACCATAATAACTAATGTAATATAAAGTAAATGTTTATTTCTTCACTAGGTTTAACTAAGGCATATTCTAAACCGCTCTCAGGCTCAAACAACCAATCAATCAACATAAGCATCCAACTCATCACCTGTTAAAAATTAAGGGAGGAGAAAGGGACAAGAACAAAATAACAAAAATTAGCTTTAGAGCTAAGTAAGTACTACCCAACCCCGTAAAATAATCAAGTTTGTTAAAAATAGTTTTTCATATAATACTATATAAAAAGAACTCACACCACCAAAATTCTTTCTACTTTGATCATCTCAAAATCACTTCTTCACTAACTTCCTAGTAATTTAGAAGGGCGGTGCTCAACACTCTGGTTGAGCCCGGTGGTTGTGTTGTTATGTACGGCCACCCCGGGACTTTTGCCGATAGCACAACTGCTAATGGAAACGAAACGACTACCTTAAGTGTGCACACCCCCTAAAAAGGATTCCAAGCCCTCTGAGTAGTAAGTTATCACGAGTAATCGGGACTCAGTCTACCAACTACCCCACCTTTAAAATTCTTGAATGATTAGGGACTACTACAACTATCACTTCTTAAAAGGGATCATAGTCCAATTGTCACTTCAAAACAAAACTTCAAACTGTACTTCTTAGTAGTAGCAGCCCTAACCACCCTCCACATTTATCCGGACGTGAAAAAACGACACCACAGATTTCTCTCAGGTGCTCACCTCTTACGAAATCCTTAATTTTATCTTGAATTAAGATATACTTCAAAATATTTCTCAATCTCTCTAAATAGTCTCAAAGGTATTTAAAAATATTTAACACCCCAAAAGTACTTAATTTGTATTTCTCAAATACCATAAATATAATATTTCCTCAAAATCGCATACACATGATTCAAAATTCACACTTAATCACATAATGCATAATAAGCATATAATACGAGTAAACAATTTTGGATTGGCAGAGAAACTTACCGTAGGTCCTGATGCTCCTAATTCTCTTCCTCAATTCCGGTCTCTAAATATTCACCTTTTTAATTAAGATGATATAATTAGTCACTTATTCTATTTTTAATGATTTATCCATTTTTTCCCTTTTATTTTATTATTCAAATTTATTAATTTAATTCATTAATTATTCGAGTTAATCAATTTTTATTAATCAGATTACTTTATTAATTCCGCCATTAATTACAATATTTATATTTGAATTCTATAATTAAATCACAATATCCGAAATATATTTAATTAATATTAAAATATCCAAATTTAATTTATTAACCACCATTAATTTACTGTACTTATAAACATCCAACTAATTAATTATAATTTAATATTATTGAAACATATCCGAATTATATTTAATTAAACTATTAAATAGAAGTGGAAGCCTATTACGAGTAATAAACAATCAGGGGTATTTTAGGTAAGTTAGATTTGAGTTTCCTAAAGCATGATTAATTGAGTTCTACGGAAGTAAAAAATTTAAGTAGGTCCTATTTAAGTCAAAAGTATATGAAAGAGTCTTATTTTGGGAGTTTTTTTTTTGTTTTTTATGTTTGATAATATTATTTAAAAATCCTATAAAGAAGAACAAGGTAAATGGTAGAATAGGAAGATTTAGTCATATTTTAAGAATTTAAATAATTATTTAAGTCTATTTAAAGAAATCTTCCTATTTTGAAAGGGCGTAATTATTATTAATTTATTATTAGTAGTTACTAGTAATAAAAAGGGAAAAGTTGCAAATAAGTTCTCGAGCTAACCGAAAAAGTGCAAATCACTCATTTTATAGGAGGTTCTGTCTGGTCGTCGCCATTTGGAGGGTTATCGGTAGAATTTTATGATGAATATTTGTGAGTATCTTCTTCATTAAGTCTCATACCAAATTTCAGGTAAAAATTCAATCGAAAAAACAGTCAAAATTTTCTATACTGCGTTGTGTAACTGCACAATTATACTTAGGCATAATACTTAGGCAGTTAGGCTAGAAGATCTCCAATCGTTCATCTTCGTTACTTCTGCTTCTAGAACAGACAAACTAGCATCAGCTAGCTTTAAACCCCCATCGCAACTCTAAAACCCCCTGTCTTGCGTTGTCCACTTATCCATGGCGTCCACTGAGGTCTCCGACGTAAGCGACGGACCAGTCCTCAGCACAATCACAAAGCGCATCCGTGCACTTAAGAAGAAGCTGAACCGCATTTCTCAAATGGAGGGGTCTCTCTCAACAGGCAAAACCCTAAATAAGGAGCAGGAAGAAACCCTCCGCACTAAGCCGGCGATCGTTGCTGGAATTGAAGAGCTGGAGAAGCTTCGTCTTCCGCTCTCAGCAGCAGTGGAAGAGGAAATCACCCTCGCCGTTCGAAGCCTTCAAGGCCACGCACCTCAGGCCCCTGTAGCTCCCACAACGAACAAGGACTCTCAGGAAGAGCCCAAAAAAGACGATGAGAATAAGGGAGAAAGCGATAGGTTGGTAGTGGTTGAGGATCTGCTAAATCTTATGTACTTCGGCAGCATGTTCGATGTGAAGACCCTGCAGAACCACTTCACGGAGGTGATGCTTTCCAGGGAACACGAGAGAGGCAGTTGCCTGTCCTATGATTACATGAAAGACGATGATTCCATTGATCTGCTTGGTGAGGGGGACCTGGATTTGATTTCGATGCTCAGTGGGCTGCTAATTTCCCGACCTGCCAATTCCTCTTTGCCACACAAGAATGCCCTTCAGAGATGTATTGAGCACGCCAAACTCTGGATCGAGAACTCCACACAGCCTATTGGGCCCGACCTGAACGCTACATGTGAGTACAATTTCTTTATTTTCTGACATGTAGAGTGTTGGATTAATTTAGAAATATGTTATGCTATTATATTATTTGTGTTTCTCGTATACCCCAATATACCATTACCGGTCATTTGACCATGCCTTTGAGATGCTTGTATCAATGTGGAACTCTATACATGTTTTTCTTCTAATAGTGAATCTATACTTTTCTAATTCCAATTTTAGGTATATGTTTATCACTTCTTACCCGTTATTTCTTTATTTCCATTTTTTCAATAGATGCTGGGTTGCGATCAAAGCTGAACAAGATTATGGCTTCACAATATTTTGTTGCTGCCCCAGTTGGACTTCAGGCAGCCGCCGTGAGCTATGGAGCCTTTCAGGCTCCAGTGCATGAGTCTGCTCCACCATTAGACCTGCCTGTGCAGGTGCATGTGGAAGACAATGCAGTTCAATACCAACCAAAGGTTCAGTGCTCATCCTTGTCTAAATTGAAAAAACCTTTTGTACACACTTATACTATTCAAACACTCTTACACACCCCTGTGAAAGCTTTTTTCTGTGAATACACTGTTCACATACAAAACATGTTTTGTCAAAGCCTTCACAGACGTGCGTAAAAGTGTGTAAACAGTAAAAGTGTGTACACCAAAATTGTTGGTCTAAATCACCATATCCTGTTGAAATTCAGACCAGCTTGCTGCAATACATTATGATGTTCAATGATTGAGTTTTTTTGTTCAGTTGCTATAATGTTGAATTCAAAATACTTTGTTTTTGCTTTCACTTTCTCTTTTGGTTTGAAAGTGTAATGTGGTTCCACTTCTGCTGATTCACAATACCCTAATGTCTTGTGGATTTACTTCTGCTGATTTAATTAGGCACTTCTCAAGTTCGTATTAGTTTAAACTCTGAAGTTAAACCACCTGAATCACGCTTTGCACTAATCATAGCCTACTTTGTTTCGTATGCACCTAAGTATTTTTACTTTTCTTATTTTTGAAGTGATTTCTCGCTGGATTAGATTTATATTTATGTCCAATGGATTTACATCTTCTCTTTGCTAGGAATGATTAATTATCTACATAAGTGCTACCTTGATCCCAGTGAAGTCAATAGTGCGGTGTAGCGGAGCGGAACGGCACTTTGGCGCTACTAGAGCCACTGTAGTGGACATAGAGGCCACTATTGGGGCGCTATAGCGGTAGTAGCGGGTGCTATTGAGGTTATTGAGTTGTCTGCGTAAGGGTTGAAGAATTTTGAGAAAATTTTGGTTTTAAATTTTTAAAGGGATAAAGTAGGTTTTTTCAGAATAAAAAGTAACCCCACTAAAACCCTTCCAAGTATGTAAAGTCCATCCCAGCATTGTAAAACATCCTTCTTAGTCATCTCTATTCTACTTCTTCGACGACCAGCGTTGTGGCTAAAAAACTACACATCTAAGTATCTAACCATAAAATCTTTGACGACAACTTAGTCATCTACCACTAGTCTCTAAGTTTGTTTAGTATGGAGCTTAGTGCCTTGTTAAAGCCCACATGGGATAATCTTTAACATAATTAGAAGTGGCATATTTAGAAAGATTCTATTATGAATGTCATGAAGTTTGAGATTTTGAGTATTATTTGCCATTTTATGCATTTGATGTGTACTGTGTGCCCATTATATGTATAAATATAATCTTGCAATGTGTATAAAAGTTATCCAAACAGCGGTCATCCCGCTAAACGCTATACTGCTATAGCATTTTCAGGGTAGGCCGTTGTGCTCCGTTATCCAGGATTGACAACACTGCTTGATCCTAGTGAATAGCGTTCAGAGTCCAGCTAAACATGCACATTGTCGCATGGCCTGAAGGTCTGCAAAAATATACACGCATTTAGGCTTACTATTAAGTCAAGCCAGAAGCTGTTGCCCTAGAATCTTGAGGTTATTCAGATATAACTTGAAGATGTCACATTTTACATAGTTCTAATGCTCTGCCATAGGAATATAGGATACATGAAATTCCAGTTGTATTAACGTGTATTAGTGTACATAAGTGGTAGCCTTGGGGGATGTCATGGTGTATGTTGTGCCAGCTGTCATTGCTATTTTGTGAAGAATGGTGGCTCCATCTGATGTTGATAACATGGGTGGTTACGCACAAGTACTTCCAGCCACAAAGGTTAAACATAAAATAAAAATAAAACAGAGGCCTAAAGGAGATGCTTATAGTTGTTCTAGTATAATTGGAAGCACATCTTGTAGGAGTTCTTGATTTACCCGTGCTTGGATGCTTATGTCTCTAGCACTTGAAGGCCACTTTTTGTAATTAGTTGGAACTAAGAGGGAAATGTAGAAATGATGTAAACCAAATGTTTAAATATTTGTTTTGGAAACAACAAATGTATCTTATTGAACATGACGCTCATGCTTAATATGAGTGGGAAATCATGCAAGTTTTCAGTAAAAATGGGTTTTTCCTCAAATATTACCAATATAAAACATGACAAAAATGTTACTCAAGTTGCTATGAGTATAATGTCCCAGTCACTATAGTCTAATATTGAACACAATCATGGCCAATAAAAAATCATTAGCATAAAAAGTCACATTTTTGTATGCTACCTTTATTTTAGTCATATATTTGTCATTATTTCTACCAACAACTACACAAATTGAGTTTTATCCCAGAGAGAGTTGGGCAATTGTATCACAAAAATGTTTTATAACTTTTTGTTTAAGACTTGAGAGAGCCTTCATCGAGTAGATGAGTAACATAGGAATCTGGTCTGCAAAAACAGCTGGGTGTTGCTTTATCATAAGATATTTGGTTTTAGGACTGATTAAAAATTAAAATGTTTCTCTCTACTAATAAAAAGGAGTTTCATCACTTTTCTGTTGTCTGTTCCAGTGTTCCCCTTTATTCTTCTGCCCTGTAATTGGTTAGGAGTAGGTGTTTGGGTATGTTAATTATTGTTATTGTGGGATTAGTTTAGCCTGTTATAGAAATATAGGGCAAGACTGTGTTTGTAAACTCTTAATGGTCCACCTTTGCTTTAATGGAATGAGCAGGAAGTGTATTTTGTTGGTGGAATGAAATTTGTACTTCATTTATTTTCTAACTTAGCCAGTGAAGCAACAAATTCTTCTTTTCCTGAATTGCAAATGGATAGTTTATGTTTTTGCATGCAATTTGCACTTTGGTAAGGAATTGATATTTGTAAATCATTACAGATATGTTTCTAATCGTAAGTTCTCATTTCTTTTATGCATCCATGAACCAGAAATCCTAGCTGTCTCCCCTTTAATCTTTTTACATCAAACATTGAATTATAGGAAGGAGAATCTGTAAGCTCTCTTGTCAATGAAACTTGCAATTATCAGGCAAATGACAAGGATACACTTCACCAGGTACATATACGTTTCTTGCATGTATATGTAGACGTGTGCGTATATATGCATATCCATACAACTAGGACATGTTTCCCATACCCACAATCCAACAAGCACTCAGACACACTCACACACATATGTATATCTAGATGCAATTGCTATTTAGTTACTGTGCGTTTGCTTGTGTTTGTGAAAGGTGATTTATTTAAGAAATTGTAAAGAAACTGCTTAATTTTAATAGCTGGTGGTGTTTGAAAATAAAGAGCAGAAGCATGAGTGTTTGGTAAAAATAGTCAAGTAAAATATTGTAGAAAAGTGAAAAGCAGTATTAAACACCCACCTCCCTCAGCACCTACTAATGATATTTATCTTTAAAGTGTTTGAAGTTAAGCAGAACAGAAAACTCTAACGTTTGGCCCTTTTTAAACAGAAAGTCTATAGTCCTTCAGCTATGCAACGTCAACAATTTTAGTCCTCAATTGGCTAATGGATAACTAGAACTGCCAAGGATACATTTTCTTTTCTAAAAGTTTTTTGAGGGACCAAAGTTGTTGCAATTTCTTTTCTGAGACTAGAAAAGCATTTTATCATTGGCAGATTAAATGATAAACCTTGTTCCTAAGGGTGTTGAATTTCTTTGTGTCTATGTAACCAAAATAAGTAGAAGCAGGGGTGTAGCCGGAGCACTAGACCGGTACAAAGAATATTTTTGGATAAATTTTTACACGGAATTTTAACACTAAAATTTAAGACATTTTTTTTTAATTTGGGGTGGGCCAGGGCCTAGGTTGCCCCACTAGCTCTGCCAGTGTAGGAGCATCAACAAATGTCTATATTAAATTAATGGAGTTTCAACATATCTTTTATTTTTCCCACATTTTGTTCCTTAGTATTACATTTCCATAATATTTTCTAATTTTGAAATTGATCCTTATGGGGGAGAGCAGGGTGACGAAAACCCATCTGCATTGCCGGTTGAAACGGAACCCCTTCAGCCTGGGGTGGAAGAAACAAATGATAACAGTGATGATAAAGGGCAACACCAAGTTCCTAGCAGAAGACAGCAGAGTTATCACAGGGGTGGCACCCGTGGGGCTGGGGGTGGACGAAGGGGATATTCAAACGGACGTGGAGGACGTGGTAGGGGTGGGCCCTACCAGAATGGACACAACCATTTTGACCAGCCGGGGAATTACATCCCGAGGAATACTCACTTCAGGGGAAGAGGAGGCAGGGGTGGTGGCCAATATGGTAACCATTCCTTTGGAGGCCAAGTTGGTAGTTATGATGAAGAATATTACTAACTATGGTTGGATGATGTTTATTATGTGTTGAGGAAATCGGGCTTTTTTTGTTGAGAATAGTGATGGTTTTGCCTCCCATGGTCATTTGCTTTTCATATTTATTGAACTGAACTGAAACAGAGGTGTCATGGGATGAAGGAAAGGTTTGATTCTAGTTTATGTTAGACTTGCACATGAAATCTGTCTCGTTTTTTTTTTAAAATTTAATCTTGGCAACATTTCTGGAAACAAACGCTCTTCATTGTTCAGCTCATTGTCTCGAGGATATCTGGCAGTCAAGGATGAAAAACTAGCAGTAGTAATAATCTGTTAAATATATAAATGGAAATATTTTATTAAATCTATAAAGGGGAAATACCTTAATATTAGTAAAACTCATGGCCTAAAGTCTGACCAACTTATATGGCATACATGCAGGCGCATGGCATAATAACCGTAAAACACATCCAGATTAGTGGTGGATTCGGGCCATGCCGGGTCCGGGTCGGGCCTAGGCTCAGGCGGGCCGGCAGGTCTGAATAGGTGGACCCCGGGACCGGCCCGGGTAGCCACCAGGTCTGGGCTGGGCCTCGGGCTTGGTTACCTACCCTCGGGCACAGTACCGGGCCGGGCCGGGTCACGGGCCGGGTGGCCCGAACCGACTCCACCCCTACTCTCACCCCCCTCACCGCCCAAACCCCCCAAACCCCTCCTAAACATGAAGCCCAACCCGGGTGGAGCCCAAACAAATGAAAAAAAACAAAAAAAAAATCAATTTGGCCTGAATCAGGCCTGGGCCGGGCCGGGCCTTGTTTTGGGTGATCCGAATCCGGACCGGAAACCCCTCGGATCAGGCCTACCTGAACCGGTCACTAATCGGTCCACCAGTTCGGGCCGGACCGGAACAGTACCGATTCCGGGTTGGGTCACCCGACCTGAGTCCACCACTAATCCAGATACATAGGATGAATTAACCACTTCTTATATTGAAATAATTACATAAATATGATCAAAATAAAGATGATTTACAAAAATATGACTAATGACTACAGTAGTAATGAAATCATAGTAATTCATGTTCAAGTTTTGAGCTTAAGTTACCACAACACCACATTGTAGTAATGAATAGTCATATTTATGTAAATATGACTTATTTTAGTAATAGTCACATTGTAGTAAAAAAACTCTTATATTTAACATTGTGCAACCAGCCAACCATCGAATAAAAAAAGAATCAATATGCATAACATTCGGATCAGCATGTTGATTGGTCTTTATCTAGAATTTAGCTATTCTTTTCCTTGTTTTGGCAGTTGTTATACCGTATGACCGGTATACGGTGAGCACCGTATACCGGCATACGGTTTTAGGCATATTTGTAAGCTCCGCATCAAACCACTTGTTATACCGTATGACCGGTATACGGTGAGCGTCGTATACCAGCATACTGTTGGTATTTTTTATACTTCTCTTTTTAAAAAAAATGGTAATAACTTTTTTATTTTTGATCCGATCTTTATAAAATGTATATCAACATTTTTTATTTTTCATGATCTTTCAAATGAGACCAATATTGTCTATGTAATTTTAACATATTATCGAACTATTATATTAACCTATGTAAAATATGTAATTTTACGTGTAGATATATGTAACTCTCGTTCAATCAGGTCAAATGCAACGCGTGTGTATAAATATGTAACTCGCATGTGTAAAAATATGTAATTTTACGTGTAAAAATATGTAGCTCGCGTTCACACAGGTCAAATACAACTCGTGTGTAAATATGTAACTCGCGTGTATAAATATGTAACTTTACGTGTAAAAATATGTAACTTGCGTTCAGGCAGGCCAAATCCAACTCGTGTGTATAAATATGTAACTTTATGTGTACAAATATGTAACTTTACGTATAAAAATATGTAACTCACACGTATAAATACATAATAAAATAAATTTTTTATATACACAATTTTAAGATAAATTGTGATTTACACAATTATTTTTCTGTATTAAATTTAGTTCGATTTCCTTATAATCCAATACTCATTAATATAATAGTTCGATAATTTCTTAAAATTACATAAGCAATATTGGTCTCATTTGAAAGATAATGAAAAATAAAAAATGTTGATATAAATTTTATAAAAATCGGATCAAAAATAAAAAAGTTATTACCATTTTTTAAAAACAAAAGGAAAAAAATAAATAAATATGTATATGTTGCTCACCGTATACCGGTCATACGGTATAATTTTCCGCATCAAACATGTATTAAAATAATAGTGGGTCCTATAATAACTTTTTCATTTGTGATCTGGTTTTTATAAAATTTATATCAAAATTTTTTATTTTTCATGACTTTTCAAATGAGACCAATATTGCCTATGTAATTTTAACATATTATCGAACTATTATATTAACCTATGTAAAATATGTAATTTTACGTGTAGAAATATGTAATTCACGTCCAGTCAGGCCAAATGCAACTCTACGTGTAAAAATATGTAACTTTACGTGTAAAAATATGTAACTCACGTTCAGACAGGTCAAATACAACTCGTGTGTATAAATATGTAACTCGCGTGTATAAATATGTAACTTTACGTGTAAAAATATGTAACTTTATGTGTAAAAATATGTAACTCGCGTTCAGACAGGCCAAATGCAACTCGTGTGTATAAATATGTAACTTTACGTGTGCAAATATGTAACTTTACGTATAAAAATATGTAACTCACATGTATAATACATAATACAATAAAATTTTTATATACGAAGTATACCATTTTAAGATAAATTGTGATTTACACAATTATTTTTCTGTATAAAATTTAGTTCGGTTTCCCTTATAATCCAATAATCATTTATATAATAGTTCGATAATTTGTTAAAATTACATAAGCAATATTGGTCTCATTTGATAGATCATGAAAAATAACAAAATTTAATATAAAATTTATAAAAATAGGATATGAAATAAAAAAGTTATTACATTTTTTAACAACAAAAGGAATAAAAAATAAAGAAATCGTATACGTTGCTTGCCAAAAAGTATGGCTCGCCGTATACCGGTCATACGGTATAATTTGCGTTGTTTTGGTGCTGCGACTTGAGATTCGACTGGGTTTCGATTACTGTCTGGTTCGTTGGGGGCTGGGGATGATTCGAGGCTGGACATTTGAAGGCAGGGGCGGAGCCAGAGCACTGGGCCAGACTGGGCCGGTACAAAGAATATTGTTGGAAAAAATTTTACATGAAATTTTTTACACTAAAAATATTGACATTTTTTAAATTTGGGATGGGCTAGGGCCTAGCCTGGGCACCCCCTAGCTCCGCCCCTGTTTGCAGGTGGGCTCTGAGCCGGAGAGTTTGCTCTAAGAAGGACCTTAAGCTTCTTTTCGATAAACCGGACTGATAAACACATTGCGCTTGACCTCCACAGAGGGTAGGGAGTGACGATTGTGAGAAGGAATGGGGAAGAGGGGGTTTCGGGGACAACAAAGGGAGCTTTTCTCTCCAGCGATTAGTCTGAACGAGCCATTTGTGGAAGCTCTAACATCTGATGGTGGGTTTGAGACCAAAGGATTGTAACAGTTTTCTATCTAGCTTTGATTGAATCCTTTTCCCATCTCTGCTATTGTGGTGAAGACACATGCCACACCTGTCTAACATAATGAACAAACTAGTCTAATAGGAGGGTGACACATGTAAAGGTGATTAGAGAGATAATTATCACAACTGTCAGATTGGTACTGTATGTAACGGATATGTACCAGAACACATGTGTGGGTTACACGTGTGTTATCAGAAATATTCCTTATCTTATTTGTTGGTATTTGTATGGTGTTGGTGATGTGGCAGCAGCTTTGCGTGATACTTGGATTGCTGAGATGCCTAAGTCCATGTTTAGTAAATGGGACCCCGAGCTCCAGAAGGTCGGAGCTCGGGTATGGTGGGCTTGTCCATGGAAGTTTTCCTGGTCTTCGATTTATCCAGTGACGGGCATTCATTCGTCCTTGCTTGACTCTCGTTGACTTCCATTGGCTTAGCGCGCGTGTCCGAGGTCACATCCGGTACCGACCTCGGTGTGTTTGAGGTCGGCCTCATATTTCATCATATCTGGGTGATCCGCGAGCTCGTGTTCTTGCCAACCTCGGTGGGTTGAGGTCGGCCTTGGCCAAGGTTCCATACTTCGCTGATTCATTGTTTTGTGTCTAGTTCCGACCTCATGCATCGAGGACGGCCTCGGCTAAGGCTTCGTACTTAAGTGTTTGATGCATGGCTGGAAATCTTTGCTCGCCAATCGTGATACCCTTGGGGTATATGAGAATATACTCCATCATCTATTAGATTTCATTCATAGCTTACTGTTTTTTCAAAACTACGTAGTAATAACTACACATTTTTGTAATTTATTTATTTAATAATGGACGTGGTCATTTTTTAAAGATATTAACCCTTCCACAATTTAGAATTGAGCAATTAGTCCTTCTACCTCCTTTAAGAAAGGAGTTTACAATTTATAGTTTTGTGACATTCTGCTTTTAATGAAAGTGATGGTGACGACAACATGATAGCTGCATAACGGGATTGGTAACGGTCTATTTTCTTTTCATTAGATTGATTTAAAATTAGTGTTACTGAACGAAGAAAGGTTACATGGTTTAGACTTTTAGTAGGCAATTTTTACCTAGAATATCAACTGAATTAAATCTATAAACAGATTTTCACGTCAAGTGGTAGGTAATAATCAAATCATAAACAAGTCAAACTATACAATAAAAAATAAAAGAGAAAGATGCTGACGGGCACTTTGTCGTAGTGCCTCAAAATAAATTCAATACTAACCTTATACGTAGTATAGCGTAGTAGAATTCGTATCCACAGGGAAATGGATACTTTTCTTTTTATGAACTAGTAAATAAAAGGAGGGTTTTGGGATTGAGTGATTTAATTAATTAAAGACTAAGATGAACGACTTAATGATTTTAATTAATGAGATAAAAGATGTGGTTTTGCTACTTTCCACTTGTTGATATGTTTGTTGATCCTTGTTATATCTATAACTTATCCCCTCTCGAATACTCAATCGAGGAGTATCTCCAATTCATCGAGGGTAGTTATTAACAACGACCGTTCATTAATAACCCTTACTATTAGTCAAGTATAGAACACCGTCATATACCGACTTGATAATAGCATTTAATCTCTTAACTCCTTGATAAAATCAATTGAGATTGATAATCTCAACACAACGGTTTCGGTT